TATTATTATTATTATTATTATTATTATTATTATTATTATTATTATTACTACTACTATTACTATAATAATGAAAGTTCTAAATACAATGTCTGAATACCTTTATTATTAAATTTCAAATATATATAAATATTGTTTGACCCTTGCAATGAAATTTTTCAAGAAAATAAATTCAGTGGAAAATTTATTTCAACTTTATTTCTATGTGCAATTTCCAGCCTATTATTAAATGGCAAGAAAATGGCAGATTTATTCTGGTCTAGTGGTCTAGTGTTTAAGGCATCAAGCTAAAAACCACAAGACTATGATTTCTAGCCCTGCCTGAGGCATGAAAGCTGACTGAGTGACTTTGGGCCAGTCACTTTTCAGCCCATGATGTCAGGCATGGGTGACAAGCCCCTCAGTCAATTCTCTTCACAACCAACATTTAATTGATGTGAAAAAAAAGCAGTACTACTGTACTTGTGGGGAAACACTCGGAGAAAAAAACAATCTAGCTATTAAACAATCTCTCTCTTTCTCCCTACACACAGAGTGACACACAAACACAAAAGATCAATGTATAAAATATACATTTTCTTTACAGTGGAATTGATTTTCCAGTAATTTCATCACTGTATTCAATTCTACATCCTTTTAAAATCATCCAAGGCCATGTAGCTATTTAGCAGGAGCTAAAGTACAATAAAATATGTCATTGCCTTTGTTACAGCCGATTAACACTAAGTCTGCCATAATTACAGTTTCAGTTAATTTGGTTCTTAATATCTTTCAGCTGTATAGTTCTATGGATTTTGGAAGAAGATGGCAGATCATGCATGAACGGATCACACCAAACCGATTTTATTGGTGAGTTTCTTGCTTTGTATTAAAACTGAATATTCATGTATGACATACTAGGATTGTATACTATTACATACAAGATTTTTTTTTTTGGAATGTATTATCTTGTTAGTTTGTTTTGTCCAGAAGGGAGGGGTATCCCTATTTAGTTTCCTATTAATCTTCCATCTCACCTTGGTTCCAGAAGTATAGAATTTATTGTGTTAGCTTCAGGATGATTTTGGAAGAATGAGGTATTGAGTAAATTATCCTTTTTTTTATCAAGAGGATACATGAGTTGAAAAGCTTTTTCTTTCTCTAAAATGACCTCTTCCTGAAAGGAAGTTGATTTCTTTTCAGCTAACTCAAAGATGTTAGCTCATGGTTTATATTATTTGTCCTAGATCTTATTTAGGAAAAGAAACTTCTACATTTTCAAATACTCCATCATAACTATTCCCCTAGTATTGTTAGTGAAATTCTATCTTGGGGAGAAAGGAGAAAATGGATGTTCTGCTGTCTAAAATTTAAAGGTATAGAATTGTCATGCATTTTTTTGTTTTCTTTTCTACTGCATAGTTGCCTTTATTCTTTTTCATGTTTTCCTAACTAGTTGTCTAAAGGAAATTTAGTTATAGAAGTAAGCCTTTGTAACCTCAAAAGAAATGCAAAGAAAATATAAAGAAACAACTGCAAGGCTCCGCATGTATTAGAAATAGGTATAATTGAACTGGTGAATCAAAAGGTCCTATGCTTATGGCTGATTTTTGCCTCATTGCTTTTGTTGAAGAATGTGAACAAATGCAATATAGGAGATTTTTAAAAAATAAAAAGCCTAATTTGATATGTAAAGAGAATTTCAAAAATGGATTGAGTTGTTTTCAGGAATAGAACATTTGTATTCAGTCAGGCTTTCAAATGAAGGAATAATCAAATAGGGATATATCAAAAGTGGTTTTTATTTTTTGAAAAGGCAACTGGACTGATACATTTTATTTTATTTTCAAAAATAAAAACCATTTTTGATACAACTAAGACCTGGATGACTGAAAATCCTCAGAGACATTCAAATAGGGATAAATCTTGTTAACTTGGATCCCTTTGACCACTGGAATATCTTCCTCTGAGTAGATGCTATAAGCTTAGAATTAGAATAGAATCAAGCTAGAAAACCTGGAAGTCTTCTAGTCCAGTCCCCTGCTCAAGCAGGAGAACTTATACCATCTGAGATAAGTGACTGTCCAGTCTCTTCTTAAAAACCTCCAATAATGGAATGTTTGTTTTCTAATGAGGCTGGTTAAAAGGGCAACTTGGTCTACCCAATTATGGGACAGTGCATACTGCTTCCATTTTCATCTTTCAGCCAGGGGACTTTTCATGCAGTCACTTTCGCAACAAACTATTTTTGTATTAAATTTATGTTTTACAAACAAAGAAATCCAGTGATGGAGTACCCATGATTTCCACTGGTTAATTGTTCCACTGGTTAATTGTCCTCACTGTTAGAAAGTTTCTCCTAAATTCCAGGTTGCTTCTTTCTGATTAGTTTCCTATCATTATTTCTTGTCCTGTCCTCTGGTGCTTTGGAGAATAATTTGACCCCTTCTTTTTTGTGGCAGTTCCTGAAATACTGGAATACTGCTATAATTCTTCTTTTCTTTAGACTAGCCAGACCCAAAATCTGCAGCCGTTCTTTATATCATTTAGTCTCTGGGCCTTTGATCATCTTAGTTGTTCTTCTCTGAACTTTTTCCAAATTTCAACTTGTTTTTTTTGTAGTGACCAAAATTAGTTTCAGTATTCCAGGTATGGTCTTACTAGGGTTTTGTAAAGCAGGTTTAATACTTCACATACTCTTTATTCTATCCCTCTGTTTATACAACTCTGTTGTATTAGCTTTTTTGGCCACTGCTGCACATTGCTGTGATCATCCTCTAAGACTCCAAGGTCTCTCTCACAGTTACTATTTTTGAGCCAGGTCTTGTCTAATCCATACTTACACCTCTGATTTTTCCTGCCTAAACGTAAACCTTTGTTTTTCTTCACATTGAAATTCATTTTGTTGGATAGGGCCCATTGTTCAAGCTTGTCAAAGTCTTTTTGGATTCTGAGTTTGTTTTCTGGGATGTAGGCTATTTCTGCAGCTTGGCTCAAGCAGACAGGAATGGTCTGATGGATCTGGATGATTTCCTGAATGTGTTTGGGGAATTATTCACATAGTGGCTCAGCTATGCAGTTGTTACCAATTTTAATTTTATTGCTATTTTTAATTTGCATTTTAAAATATCTATTTTACCGTGTCATAAATGTTATTAGCTAGTTTAATTTGTCAGCCTTTGATTTTAATAAGCTATTACTAACATTAACCAAATAATGTGTTGACAAACCATGGTTAGTTAAAAAAAAGAAGGTGCTTTTGATCTTATGGCTAGAAAAAGCAAAGGAAGAGTGCATTAAAAAAATGAAAGCTTGGGCATTACCTTCAAGTTTAACCAATATGTAAATTGCTTTGAAATGTCATGAATTTTCTTGCATTTCCAGATTTAGTGGAAATAACTCTTGGGTTTGAATGACAACATTAAATACAATTGCTTAATCCAGTTAGAGAGTCTGATATTTTTTTAAAAAATAATTTTATTGTATACTAAACAGTGCTACAAAACATCTGGGAGCTTTCCTATCTCTGACTTTAAAGAGTTCTCATATTTAGCAGATTGAGTAGAATGCATACTATATACTAAAAATGGTTTCTTATCATGGCAAAACAGACAAGACTTTTCTCTACTTATTTTGAATGTGAGCCATTTTGTATAGTTCAGTAACATTCCATTAAAGATAAGGAGATTCTTCTTTTATCCCTTTTCCCATTGGAAATTAACCAACTCTTTTAAGATGACTATACATCAGCAGCTATATGAGGCAGAATCTATTCTCAGCAAGAAGAGAAAATTGAAACTCCTACTCTTTTGTTTCCTGGGATTCCCCAGAGTCTCATCTTTAGAAGAAGCTTAGTTTAATTTTGCCGTTATTAAGCAGAGGAGACGTGAGGTTACAGGAGAATTTCATTGTTTCTTAAATAAAGTAGGTTATTTGAGTAACAAACCGGATACTTTTCTGTCCAACATAACAGGTTTTGCCATTAATAAAGATAAAAGTTCTCCATGTAAAATTATATATGTCTTGTCTGTAGATTGGCGTGCAGAATGATTAATTGTTGCTGTAAGTGACATCTTTTCCCTGAGAACTTGTGACTCCAAAAGTAACTCCTACACATTGTGCCTGTGAACAAGTGTCCTATCATGCCATTTTCATTATTTTAAGCTGACATATTGCCAGGCAAAGTTCTTTTGAAGAATGATTTTCTATTTCAAATAAGTATTCTTAATTTTATTTTATTTTTTAAAATTGAGTATTTAATTTAAAATACAACTATCTGTTAAGAAACCAAAAAAATACAAGTATAATATGGAATCCCTGCAGGAAAGTGAACTACATAGGTGGTAGAGACCATTTTTGTAAAATAAGCTGTCACCATTATAATTGGGAAGCTCTAGATAATGAAATATATGCATGGAATTAGAATTCAACATGATTTTGAAAGGACATGAAAATTGTAACCTTCATATTCACCCAGCTTGTTTACTGTAAATTGTTTATGAAATTTCTAGGTCATTAAACTCTAATCTCCTTTGAAAGAATATCAAAAGTACTATCATATTCTATAAATTAAAAGATTATGAATCACATTTCAGATACATGGTTTAAATATATTTACATGAAAAATGAATGATTAAAAAATATGACATCTAGTTTCTTCAGCTGGAAGATTGAATTAGGGTGATTGGAGATTCTAAACATGGAATAGACCACATTTAAACCAGCATCATGTGTAGCTAAATATATTGCACAATGTTTAGGAAAAAAATTTAAATGGGTAATCAAAAAGATAAGGAAGACTTGAGATTAAAAGAGAAAAACATAGCTTTAAAAAAAAGATTTTGAAAATGGGTAGAAAAAGCTGAACAAGGAAATTCTAACCAAGTAATAAGAATTAATCATGAAGATGAAAATGTTTTAATTGTTTTCTATCTTTTTCTTTCTATTCTTTTTTTCTTATTTTCTTTTTCTCTCTTACATTTATGTATGTGTTCTTGGTCTATTTTAATTGTAAAAAAAATAAAACATGAATGTGTGAAAATGATTTGAGGTTACATTTGAGGTGGAAATGATGGAATAAGTATTTTAATGATCTGTGTGGGTTTGACAGAGACACATCAAATAATGGAATCAAAACAAATGAATAAATGTTAATATCTAAAAAAAAGTCCGATTATACGTAACTTATAAATGCTGTGACAACTGAAATTTGGTCAAGCTGCAGCTGTATCTGGGAAACTGTTAAAATATGGATGTTGCTTATTTATAGAATGGATGTACAACATATCTAATGTGTGTATGAAGACTGAATATGACAGTTCACTAAGTACACTTACACTAGGAATAAATGCAAAACCACAGGGGCATTGGTTTGTTAAATGTGACTGTTAAATTTTGATTGAGAAAGTATCATTGGTGATAATGAACAAGAATTTGGAAAGTTCAGAAATTTTATTAAGCTTGTTGGTTTATATAATATGGACTTGAAGGTGGATTGCTGAATACACTATGAGTACTATATGATGGAAATGAAATGGAAAGTTTAAAGTATCAATTATAACAGAGCATGGGGTAACACAATATTGCTGTTTAATGTCTGTATGGATAAAAATATAAGATGTTTATGGTGACATTAGAGCTGTGTTTGTTGGAGCAGAAATATGTATGCACTCTAGACAATGCTGTGACTTTGAATACCTAAATAAATTGCTGAAAATGTTAGGTACACTGTATTATGCAAAGAGGAATATGGTTTGGACCACTAATGTATAAAAGATTGAGGTAGTTGTGTTTGGCAATAAAAACCAGTATATGATTGAAAATTATATTAAATGTGAAGAACCAGAAAACTAGATTAAATTATGTACTTT